CTACGGGAGTATATTTGCCCAATCTTCCTTCTGAGGAGTGAGTGGTCAGTTCGAACCACCAGCCTTCTGGTTAGCAGTCAAATGCCTTAGGTACTATGCCACCACAGCTCCCAGAGTCATTACAGGTAGTACTACAGGAAACCTTGGAAGGGAAAGGGGGAAAATAAATCCATTTCCACCTACAGAAGTAGGAATGTTGAACATGAATTTGGAAAAGGTGACGGAAAGCAGAAAGCAAAGCAGAATACATGAGACAGGCACAGTCTTCAAAGAGTGTGAAGAGTTACCAAAGCATTAAGGAAAACCATCCTAAAGTCTTAGTTTACAACCATAGTTAACACACTTATTTACCAGGTTTTGATCACTAACAAGCTACTACCAAGCTAAGTGGCACGTGTAAATTTAAATATTAAATCATTTAATCCTTACAATGCAAGGTGAGAGGTATTTTTATCATTTCCATTTTACAAACAAGGAAACTGAAACACAAGAGACCAGATGACAGTGTGAGACCACATAGCTAGAAGTGGCCAAGTCATGCTCTGAACTAGTTTCCTATATTGACAAGGTGATGATGGGTCTAAAAGGTAAACATAAACAATGTAGGATGGCAGCAAAGAACAAATAGATGGGGCTATTTTGAGAGGCCAACTAGTAAGAGGTTAACAGCAAAGATGAGCTAAAGCAAAAATTCCAATTCAAGGATGAATGAACAAGAACCACATGAATCATCATGAGGCATTCTAGATTATGAAATACTCTGCAAATTTAGAAAAGGGCTTTAGGATCTAATTGTCTAAGAAGAGAATTCTAAATGATATGAAAACTAGTGACTAAGTATTTACCAGGTACGACATATTTACTTTACATTCTTCATGTTATTTAATCTTCATAATATAGTATTATCATCTCCATTTTAAGACAAAAACTAAGGCATGAGAAGGTTAACAGCCTGTCTTAGGTCAAGCTGGCAATTAGTAAATTTCTGGTAAAGACTAGAGCAATTGTGGGACACACAAAAGGAAATTAGTAGTATGGATATTTAGTAAACTTGGATCAAATTTAATCCTGCAGAGCTCAAAGCAAATTATTTTCCCTCAAGACCATTCAAAAGACCAGACTGCCAATCAAGCTCTGAGGATAACACATGGTGAATATGGTAGTTGCCTATGTTGCCTGAGAGCATCTTATTTCCATTCTCTTCTCTGCCTCTACACATGTGATCAGTGGACCACTCAAAGGAACTGAATGTCAAATCTGAATAAAGGACTATTTGGGTGAAAAAAAGGAGACATGATCATTGTTTTTAGCATATACTATGTGCACAGAACAGGCAATGCCCACTCATCCATCTGCTACTGGAAGGGGGTGGTTAGGCATGATCAAAACAGAGAAACTGTAGAGCACTTTCTTTCTGTTTTAATAGTAAGGAAGAAGTTGTATGAAATTTTACTGACAGGTAGGTGAGAAAGGAAAGCTCTCATGAAAAGAAAATGTATTAAACAGAGCGAAAAACAATACAGATTTTGATTGGAAACGTGGGTTGGGAAGAGGATGAACACACCACACTGGTGAAGACAGACAATAGTACACATCATCTTCCCTCCCTCCACTTCTAGGTATAGAAATCACAAGGTTAGGCTTGAAAGAGATGTGCCAGGATTATAGATATGGGGAAAACGGAGTCATTCTGAGCTTTTCTCCTGTGGTTTCATGCATATGCCAAAAAAACAGAAGGACAAGAATTCTTTGGAAACTGCTGTCACTTCACAGGAAAAACACAAAGGAGGCATTTCAATTTGCTTTTAGGTTGTCCAACCTAGATCATCAAGAGAAACAAAAAGGAGTAATTTACAGCAGTTTTATCTAACAATAAAGACTGTCTATATGACACAAATTTTCTTTGTGCTACAGGAACCTGAACACTATGGACGCAAGAAGGAAAGAAACTTACAAATTACTTATGTTGTGAGCAACGCATAGGGCTAGGAGTTATATCATTACTAGCAATGTGATATCAGGAAAGCCAGTTAACATTTTAAAGGTTAGGTACTGAATCTGTAAAATAGGAAATGTACGTCCTTCCTGTTACAAAGATGATGATGATCGTTGAACATAAGCAAAAATATTATGGCTAAAATAAGAGTAAGGAACTCTCTTGGTATAGCAGTTAAGGCATTTATTTGGCTGCTAACCAAAAGGTTGGTGGTTTGAACCCACCAGCCACTCCAGGGAAGAGAGACAAGGCAAACTGCTTCTGTAAAGATTTAAAGCCTTGGAGACCCAATGGGGAGTCACTATAAGTTAGAATTGACTCAATGGCAGTGAGTGAGGAAAATAAGAGTAAGGGGCAAATAAAGAATGATGAGTCTTATTATAATAAGGGGATTACATTTGAAATTTATATTTATAAACAAATGAGACTGAATATGGGCATGTCCGTGGCTTTGAAGAATAAAATAAGTGTAAGTATATCTTATTATTTAAAAATTATAATTAAATGACTTCAAGTTGAAAGCAAATGAATAATTATACTAGGAAATAGAATTTTAAAGCTAGAGAAGAACTGTACATCATCTACTCTAAGATATGAATTTCATTTTCTTTTGGTCACTCACCAAAACTCACTGCCGTCGAGTTGATTCAACTCATAGTGAAGCCTCCTTGGGTTTCTGAGGCAGTATCTCTATGGAAGTAGATTGCCCCATCTTCCTTCCCAGGAGTGGCTGGTGGGTTTGAACCACTAGCCTTCTGGTTGGTTATACAAGCAGAACACAAAGTAGCTCCTACTCTTGTTAAAAAGCAGCTGATGGTCCTGCCTGCTGTTTCTCCTCCACATGGTTCCAGGACTAGAAACCAATTCTCCTTAGTTTAGTATTCTGTTATATTGTATTGCCTCTATTTTCTTTTCCTTTATTTTAAGAAAAAAATATACGGGAGGAGGGAAGTTTTCCATGTTGATTTTGCAAGTACTTCTTCTATTTATCTTTTTCTTCTTTTTTTCAAATCTCCTTATGGCTCCTTACAGCTCAAGAACATTATCTTTCTTGATAAAGATAATTAATAATACCAGCAAGAGCATAAAGGTTAAAAAATATAGTAAAATCATCCACCTCAAGTTCATTCTGTTTAGGTTTAACTAAAGGTGACACAGCAGGGGAAGGTGTTTAGACTACAAACTGGTGGAGCTGGAGCTGCAGTCTCTGTAATTGCTCAGAACTGTCAAGGGACATTATAGAAGAATACCAGAACATGTTAAACTTGCATGTTCAACAGCTTGGTCTCAGTCGGTGAAAACACCTTTCACTAAATGTTGGAAGTTTGGGAAATAAGACCTAAATAAATAATTAAGTAAACACACTACTCTTAAGGTCCCAGAAGAAAAATGTCAGTGAACCCAGCAGACATTGAACCAACATTAGAAGATAATGCATACAAGTAAATATATCCCTTAAACGCTGAAACTGAAAACAGGGATCCACAAAGAAAAAAGCTAGCCTGATACACAGTGGCAAACACTTTCCTAAACAATCTTGCCATACCCTTAGTATTTTTTTTTCTAGTTCAAATATTCTTTATCTTGTTGAATTTTTTTTTTAGCTTACTGAAATCTGTATCCTATCAGTATTGTGCTTTCTCACACATCTCTCACATCTCTTCTAATTTCACACTGCAAAAAAAAAAAAAAAAGGAAACAGGTCAGGAGTGGAAAGAAGCAATTGTGTACACTCTGGATCTAGGCCACCAATTTCTACCTAAGACTTAGATTAGTCTTGGACACAAACCATTTGAAGATGTCAGTTCTGTACATCCTCACTTAAGCGGAATCCCGATAAACAGCAAAGGGTATCTCTTGCGGGTAAATATCTAGTGTTATGCTGGTATAACAAGGATTGTGAGGCTGCCACAACACCGGCAAGTGTTTCGTTGTGCTGTGCATAGGGTCGCTATGAGTCGGAGACAACTCAACAGCACCTAACAACAACATGCACAAAACGTATTTAAGATTCTGAATCATACTCTCAGATTTCTTACCAGAAATCAATTTTAATGCTATATAACCAACTCATTGCAAACAATTCATAACAAAATTCTCAACAGCTTTCCCCCATAAAAAACTGAATGAGCTTTCAAAAATGTTGGAAATTGAAATACACTCGATGTTTGTACCAAATATAACACTTCCTGTGAACCTTCAGATAGTTAAATTTCAATCCTGCAAGATTGTAAAAAAAAAAAAAGGAGGTCCTAGTGTCGCAGTTGGGAGCTCTGGTAGCATAGTGCCTAAGGCACTTGACTGCTAACCAGAAGGCTGGCGGTTCAAACCCACCAGCCACTCCTAGGCAGGAAGATGGGGCAATCTCTTCCGTAGTGATACTGCCTCGGAAACCCAAGGAGGGGTCGCTATGAGTGGGGTCCGACTTGACGGCACATAACAACAACAACAACAACAGTGTCGCAGTGGTTAAGCGCTCGTCTGGTAACCTAAAGGTGGGCCGTCGAAATCTGCCTCAACCCACCAGCCGCTCTGCCAGAGAACGATGTGGCAGTTTGCTTTCGGCCTTGCAAATCCTATGGGGCAGTTATACTCTGTTCTACAAGGAGCAGCTATGAGTCGAATCCACTCCACCACGGTGGATTTGATTCTTCATGATTAAGATTCTTAGTAAAGCAGTTTGTAAATCTTCTCGATCACCAAAGGCGGGGAAACGATTTTTAGAGTGTGTCAAGAAAGCCACTTCGTGAAATTCAAAGGGACTCAATCTGTTCCTTGTTTCTTTTTCTCAACGGCGCGATCCTAAGAAAATTCTTAGGAATTTAAGTTTGCTTTATTTTCGAGATTGATTTGCCTCTTCCAGGAAGCCGATAAACAGGAAACTCAAGCAAAAGATGACAAAAATCGAAGTTTCCAGCCCTGGATCAGCCGTGGAACTCCACGACCTCCCAGCTGTAAGCAAGACTTCAGGTTTGCACTCCGGCTCTCTCGAGCAGGCACTGACCTTAGGAGTGTGCGAAACGCCCACGGTCCACGTAATTTTTTCTGAATCATTCTCTGGAAAACTTTGCTTTCCTAGCAGAACCAGGGACACCCAGGCTTCCGGAACTCGAAGGTTGCCGGAACGACGCAGGACCCGGAAGTGGCTGACAAAAGGGGAAATTAAACCAACCAGAACTGTGCTTTAGCGCCCTGCGGAAGGCCGGGGAGGGCCCAGTAACAGGCGAACGCAGCCGAGGCGGGCCGAAGAGCCGAAGAGCGGAAAATGACACCACGCGCGCTGATTGGTCGGTCGGCCTTGCGGGAGATAAACCTTATCTGATTGACAGGAAAGTCATGAACCGGTCAACCCCGGGTCGAGGGGCGCGCGTGAAGAGGCTTCCGTGTCAAAGGGCCGCGGGGAAGCCGTGGCTCTGGAAGTGCAGGGATTTCCCTGCCTGCGAACACTGCAGCGGGCAGCCGGACAAGCGCCGCCGAGTGGCGGCGGGACGCCTCCACACCCCGGGGGTTCCTTGATCTCCCTGGGTGGCGTGCCCTCTTCGGAAAGGCCTCGTCTGGAGGGGAGCTCTCTCACAGGGCCGCTGCGGCGGGGCTAGGACAGTGTGCGGTGCCTCGAGACCTGTTCTCTCCCATGGCGAGTGTGCAGACCCTGGGTGGCTTGTCCTCTGCAGGCCGTGTAAGGCAGGTAGCTCCGTCCAGTCAGTCAGTCGCCCGCCCTACTGGGCTGGCTGGGCTCGCTATTGCCGTCTGGGCAATGAACACCTGGCCTCCGAGTTTCCGCCCCAGGGCGCCTCAGAATCACCCCAGGAGCTTTTAGAAATGCTCACGGCCAGGTTGCCCCTCTCTGGGTAATTGAGTCAGAATTTCTGGAAGTGGGGCTCGAGGGAAGGCATTGTTTTAAAGAGCTCCCTAGGCAATTTTAAAGTGCAGCCTGCGTTGAGAATCGCTGTTGCCTGTTCATACACACTGCAGCCTGGTGAGTTTTCTCTAAGGTTTGAATGAAGTTGGGGTTATAAAGCTTCCTGCACATAGTAAGGGAGGTCTGGTAGCGTAGTGCCTAAGGCATTTGACTGTTAACCAGAAGGGTGGCGGTTCAGACTCACCACACACAGTAGATTTTCAGAACGAAAACTTTTTACCCTCAACCCCTTCTTTCCCAAAGGAACATTCAGCCTGCAACAGTTTTGTTAGGCGAAAGCTTATCCTGTAGAAGCAGTGTTATTGTTAGGTGCCATCCAGTGATAAGGACTCCTAGCAACTCCATGTGATAGAGTAGAACTGCCCTATAGGATTTGCTAAGATGTAATCTTTACAGGAATAGATCTCCATGTCTTTCTCCGGTGGAGCCGGTGGGTGGGTTGGAAACATCAACCTTTGGGTTAGCAGTCAACTTAACACCTGTGCCACCAGGCCTCCTTGAAGCAGTATTACAGCTCCAGAAAAAAGTGGTTTTCTTTTTTCTTTTTTTTTTTTTGGCTTGTGTATTTGTTTCACAAATTCTTCTGTGGGACAGAGTTGTAACTCAAAATATGAAATGTGGAAAAAAAGTATTCAGGAGCTCTAATACCTTCAAATGTGTTTTTACGTTAAAGATGTACAATTTAACATAACTTATACCTGGAATTTTGTTGCTTTTCATACATTAGGAGTATACTGGGGGAGTAAGAATGTACCTTAGGCCAGTGATAGATTTAGCTGAACATACTCTTGCATAGATACTCGACTCACTGCCTTTGAGTCAAGTCCTACTCATAGTGACTCCTTGGGTTTCTGAGGTGTTATCTCGATGGAAGTAGATTGCCCAGTCTTCCTTCTGAGGAGTGGCTGGTGGGCTTGAACCACCAGCCTTCTGGTTAGCACTCAGATGCCTTAGACATCACGCTACCAGAGGTCCTGCGTAGATACAAGTGATAAAAAATAACCACATCATTTACAGAAGCAACAGAAGATGGAGTAATCCCTCAGAGAGAACCAAACACCTTGGGAGGGAGAACCACCGGGCCTGCCAACTTGGGACCATAGTACTGGGAGACACCAAGCTCAATTGGCACAACATGTTGTTGTTGTTGTTAGGTGCCATTGAATCGTTTCCGACTCATAGTGACCCCATGCACAGCAGAACAAAACACCGCCCAATCCTGCGCCAGCTCCATGATCCCTGCTATACTTGAGCCTATCATGGCAGCCACCGTGTCAATCCATCTTACTGAAGCCCTTCCCCTCTTTCATCGACCCTCCACCCTATCAAGCATGACATCCTTCTCCAGGGAATGGTCCCTTCCGACAACATGACCAAAGTAGGTGAGACGAGATACAATATACTACTTAAAAATTTGTTCCACAACTTACTTTGGTGAGTAGAGATTGGGGTCTTAAAAGCTTTCAAGCAGTCATCTAAGATGCAGCTAAAGGTCTCCTCTTGTGTGAAGCAAAGAAGAGTGAAGAAAATCAAGGGCATTTGGAAGCAATTAGTCCAAATATATGATGGCCCTTAGATCAGAAGAAATAGATGGTGCCCAGCTACCAATGCCAACCACTTGGGAAGGGATCAAAACTGGAGATCCTGGATAGAGTGGGAGGAATAATGTGGAACAATACTCAAAAACACAATAATGGCAAGAACTACTGGTTGGATGGAGTCTGGTGGGACCTCCAAGACTATAGCCCTGGGATACTTTTTGGGCCTGGGATGGGACTCACTCCCAAGCATTGACTCTCAACCCAAGAGTTTCTACTACTACATGCAGAGCACCCAACCCAGGATGATGCACCCACCTATTCTACAGAGAAAACACCCCTTGGAGCTATTGGCCTTGGGGCACCAGGGGGAAAGCTGGGCAGACAGGAGTGCATAGCTAAGAAGGGCACAGGGAGGGGGATCACAGGGAAGGGAGGGGAGGAAAGTGGATTAGGGTTGGGGATGGTAATTGGGATGTGAAATCAAATGTACACAAACTGATGAATGTAAAATTTTGCTCTGTAGATTTGCACCACAAACACACACACAAAAGAATATACTGGGGGATAAAACAGAGACCAAAGCATGGTGAGCTCTGGTGGTTAAAGCACTGGGATGTTAACCAGAAGGATGACATTTGGAACCCACCATCAGCTCTGCCAGTCTACTTCTGTAAAGATTGACAGCCTTGGAAACCCTACAGGGCATGTTTACTCTGTCCCAAAAGGGCTCTATGAGTCGGAATAGACCAGATGACAGTGGATTTGTTTTCTTCAGGATGATGATGCTTTCCTAAATTAATGGAAAAGATCTTCCACCATGTGAACCAACAATACAAACAAGATAGAACAGGAAATACAAGTTAATGAGGTATATAGTTCACTGAAGGATTTCACTCTCCAGCCCCACTGCCTCTGAGTGGATTCTGACTCATAGTGACCCCCATAGGGTTTCCAAGGCTGTAAATCTTTCTGGGGGAGCTCTGGTAGCATAGTTTCTAAGGCACTTGACTGCTAACCAGGAGGCTGGTGGTCCAAACCCACCAGCCACTCCTCAGAAGGAAGATTGGGCAATCTACTTCCGTAGTGATATTGCCTTGGAGGAGGGGTCACTATGAGTCGGGTCCAACTCGACGGCACATAACAACAACAACAGCAAATCTTTCTGGAAGCAGATTGCATCATCTTTCTCCCAGTGGAGCACCTGGTGGGTTTGAACCACTGACCTCTTGGTTAGCAGCTGAGTGCTTTTACCACTACACCACCAGGGCACCTTCACTGAAGGGCAGGTGGAAAGATTTTTGTAGTGCTGCAGCTGTCTGATACAGTAGCCAACTAGCTGCACTATGCCACCAGAGCTCCCTCTTGAAACATGGCTAGTCCAAATTGAGTTCAGCTATAAATGTAAAATATACACCAGATTTTTAAGACAGTTTGAAAGCAAAGTGTAAAATATTTATTAATGTTGATTGCATTTTGAAATGAAGATATATTGGAAATTTTAAAGTTACATATATGGCTTGCATTATATTTCTACTGGATAGTGTTCTAAAAACAAAGCCAACCCATTGTTATAGAGTCAGTTCTGACTCATAGCAGCCCTATAGGACAGAGTAGACTCCCATAGGATTTCCAAGGCTATAAATCTTTATAGAATCAGACTGCCTTATCTTACTTCCTCAGAGTGGCTGATGGGTTCAAACCATGAACCTTTTTGTTAGCAATCAAATGCCTTAACCACTACACCACCACAGCTCCTTTGTATTGTTCTAGAGAGTAAGAAAATCTCTTAGAAGAGTAGGTCTTTCACTTAGCATTTGTGCAGTAGCCATGTTAATTTCACAGGTAGTCCTATAGATACACTGTAGCTCACCACATATCTATGATGCATCTATGATGCGAAGAACGGGCTAAAAAAAAAAAAAAAAAAAACTGACACCAAGGATATTTTCAGAAAGCAAGTTTTAGACCATGAAGCCTTATGTGTCATGCTGGTTATGTAGCATGAACTTCACAGTATCTATTGATAATAAAGATACTAAGCTATAAGTAAAATTTAATTATGTTTAATGAGTCCACTTAAGAATGCAGGGAAGCATATAGGGCATTTAAGAAGATTTCTGTTGAAAGTTTTTAAGATAAATTCTGTCTCTTAACATTTAATCTCTACATATGTGGAATTACCTTCTAAGTTCTCCAGCTAGTAAGTTAAGGTTTCATGGAAGATTAGGTTTTTGTAGTAGCCTTATAAAATTACCAAGGACCTCTTGTGGCACTGTAGTTAAGGCATTGGGCTGCTAACCAAAAGGTTGACTATTCAAACCCACCAGCTGCTCTGTGGGAAAAACGATAAGGCAGTCTACTTTCATGAAGATTTATAGCTAGAAACTCCCCATGGGTTGGTGTGAGTCAGAATCCACTCAATGGCAGTGAGTTTGGTTTGGTTTGGTTTTAGAAATGTCCTTATTTTTCATTCATTTAACACAAACTTTGCCCATGTTCAAGATTTATTGCTAATTAGTGTTGATACAGGACCAGATTGACATGGTTCTTACTTTTTCAGAGCTAATGAAAGCGGTGGTGTAGTGCCTAAGGCATTTGACTGCTAACCAGAAGGTTGATGGTTCAAATCAACCAGTTATTCCACATAAAGAAGACAGGGCAATCTACTTCCATAAAGATTTACTGTC